CCCCTGGCAGGGAAAATCCATCTTGCAGGGGCTCCATAAGAAGACTGGCCCTAGTCCCAGCCCAATGTGAACAAGAAAGCAGCAGCAGCTTCAGCTGGGAAAACATTTGCTTCCTGCCTGAGCAGGGGGTCGTGGGAACACCTGCTGCCCAGCTCCCCAGAGAGGATGCATGGATCCACTGGCACACGACACAGGACAGGAGTCTAGAGCTGGCAGGATGCCAGCACCCCTGTTCCCCAAAGCCAGGGAAGGACACAACGTGAGGGGATCTGGTGGTGGCTGAGCCTGCTGATTCCTGTGCCGCTTTGGACAAACTGCCTCGTGTCTCTGAGCTCCAATTTCCTCATCAGCCGATGTGTCACATGATGCTATGCACAGCATCCAGGGTGGCCATGAGGACCCTTGGGAGCATACCCCCCGAAGTGCTGAGCCCACGGAGTAGCCAGACACCATGGTTTCCATTAGTGCTTTCTAGTCCCTGCAGAATTTGGGAGCCTGCCAGATCCCTGCCTCCGATAGCTACATCCTCCAGCGCCGCCCAGCTTTACTAAGTCCAGGCCTGGGCCACGGGGTGCCGCGTGTCCCCCACCCTCAGCCCCCGGGGCCTCGGAGATGCTGCTGGATGAGCTCCACCAGTCCCTGTCTCTGCAGCTCCCAGCTTTCTCGGCTTTCCAAGGCTCTGGAATGGATAATTCCAGACCCGTGGATCCAGATAGAGACACCTAGAGGCAGGCTGGGCTCACAGCACTTACTCCCAAGGATAGGGAATTGAATCATATCAGCCCGGGGCCAGCCCAGCATAAAAACTAAGGGGCAAAACCCCAAGTTGAAGAAGGGCTGTTGCTACCGATTCAGTTTTCTGAGGGCGCATTATGTGCCAGGTGCCTCACAGGTGTCAGCCTCGACTTCCCAGACCGGGAAACTCCAACAGAGGAAAATGCGCATAATGTTATGCCGGTTGGTGTGGACCAAGTGCTGACAAACTACAAGGCATGGCTTCAAGCATGCGCGTTCACTGCCTTTACCCTTGAAATCTAACCCCTAATGGACTCCTGACTTACAGATAAAGAAACTGAGGCACAGAGAAGTTCAATAAAATCATCCAAGGAGGCAGAAGGGCTGGGAATGACACCCAAGGGTCTTTAGCTTCTACATGTAGAGGTGAAACAGCTGCCCGGATTGCACAATCCACGTGACAGCCAAACTCTCATGTCTGTGGGGACAAAATGAGGAGGAAGTCACCAGGAGCCCCAGCCATGGGCAGATAAGAGCTTGAGGAGCTGACAGAGATAAGTGCAACTCTTTGGGGCAGCAGGCACAGGGGTTGAACTTCAAAGGATGCGCGGAATCCAGACACAGGCACCCAAGGAGGGGCCGGGAAGGGCATTCCCAGCTGTCAGGGATGGCGGGAGCTGAGGAACACAAATGAGAGTTTAGCCAAGGGCATGGGCTTGCACAACAAGAGTGTTCCCCAAATTGGGTCAGGCTGCATGTGAGTGGGCGGCACCCTGACAGAACGTGAAGGTCAGGGGCAACATGCCAGTAAATGGCCCAGCCTGGCAGGGGAAAGCTGGGGGTCTCGCAGGTGCTACTGTGCATGGCTGGCCAGCAGGACCCAGGCCAGCAGGCAGCAGGTAAGCCAACTCCAGGATTCTGAGCTGCAGAGTGACATGACGTAGCCGTGTTGACAAGCCAGAAGTCTGAGCGCATGCAGGAAGGCAGGGAGGAGGTACCTTCCGTCAGTCCGAGACCACAAATAAGACAAGAACCTGTCGCACGGAGCCATTGGAAGCAGCGAGCAGGGACGTGTGGGATCTGTACAACGCTTTTAGCCTCCCTTCCTCTCGCACACCCCCTCTCCATCTGTCGCAAAGGGCACCAAGAAGATGTACAGAGGAATATTCCAGGGGCTCAGTGGCCCAGATTGGGGACTCTTACAGGAGCCCCAGCACCTGGGCGGTGGTATCTCTGAGGGTGCAGGGCCTGGCCCCTGCCTCCATCCGCGCCAGGCTTTTTCTGAGAGGCACCTGGGAGACGGGAGAGGACTTGGGCCTGCAGCCTGAGCTTCCACGTGAGCCAGCAGGGAGTTCCCTTCCACCCCTCCAGCTTGGCTCCAGTCCTCCTGATCCTATTGGTCCATCTCTCCCCTCAGCCCCCCCCCAGGCACCAAGGCCTGGGATAAGTTTCTACCTCATTTTGGGACTCGCTTTTTATCATCTGGGGGGCTAAGAACAGACTCCAGCAAGAAGACCCAGCCTGGCAGGCAGGTGCCTATCTCATGACCCTCGGCTCACCTCCCCTTTTCTCCATAGGTGTGTCACATCAGGACCTCATACATGCTGAATGACCACGAGTAAAGGAATGACCACACCATGACGTAGCCCATAAAGGCATTACGAGCAGTCAGAAAGTACCGGGAGAACACGACAGTCTACAGCCTGTGCCTGGCACAGCCAAACCCCTCTTCTCTTCTTATGAAAGAGGAAGCAAGATTACCATCACCACTTAGGAAAGTCCAGAAGCAAAGTGAAGTGGGCAGCAGGCTGCCTCCATCAAAGGGTGTAACTCCAGCTGGGGGGCCTGCCACCCTCTTCTCCCAGCCTTGACTGGACCAAGTCTCCTGCAGACCACAGCAAAGGAAGAAGCAGGAATTTGACTAGAGGTCCCAGGCTGGGACCCTACGTAGGTGCAGTGGCAGGCCCTACAGATAGATACTCGTAGCCCAGGTGTCCCCCTGCCAGCCCCGGCCCCTGGCACCTCTTTCCCCAGTGCAGTTGTTTGAGGAAATGGGCCTCGCGCTGGCTGGGTGAACACAGGGTAGTGACTTCACCAGCATCTTTTTAGAATTTCCTTTTGGCAGCATTCATGCCTAAGGCAATCTTTAGAAACTTCTACCCCAACCAGCAAAATCCACATGACCAGCTCTCCCCCAAACGGTGATCATGTGACAGCAGTCACGTGACACCCTCCACCACCCCCACCCTCTTCCCGCCCCTGGCTGCCAGAGACGCGGGGATACAGGCAATCCACAGCCACCTTTTTCAATCTGACATTTGAGTTTCTCACTCGAACAAATCCATTTGCTTAGAAAATTGGACAACTTCCTTCTTCCACCTCTTTGCGCTTCTATCTGCTCTCTTCTGCTTTGTTGTAAATTCCAGGCTGTGGGTAGCAGAGTTGGGGACCTGAAGTTCCGACCCTTAGCCAAAACAGGTGAATCCCATGACCGCCCCTGGGGTGGAGGGGCAGGGCTCCACAGAACACTGAGTCAAGGATGCTGGGAAGCCCCAGCAGTGAGGACCACTGCCCTTCCCCATCACCTTCAACCAAGCAACTGATTCTCACCTCCTCAGATTTATTTATCTCCAAGTTAATCCAGGCCCCTCTGCCGCTCCCACTTTTTCAGGCTATTGATGCTGAATGGATTGGAACGGAAGTTTTATGACCCAATCTTTACTATTTTATAGATTGTTTTTATAGGCAAAAGGGGGAGAGCTGTTCACATGGAGGGTGGCAGTGGCAGCCCTGGGAGAGGCCGGCTGCCCAGCTCAGTGCTTGTCAGCCAGGGACAGCATCACAGTGGCCTGGCTGGAAAAGGGTTTGGAACAGACTTGCAGAAATGAACTTGGGCCCAGTTCCTTGCTTCTGCAAACATTAAGCACTTGTGACAGGCACCCTGGCCACTCCAAGCCAGGAAGGCCAGCAGGGGAGCGGCTGGGGACTTCTACAGGCCGTACAGGGCTGGTGCCCAGGCAGGAAGGAGTGGATCCGAGATGTCACTCACCAGAGACACATGGAATTTATCAGGGCTTCCTTCTGCCCGGCTAGGGCCCGACTGTAACTGAGCTGGGGATGGGCTAGTGGGGGGAGGAGGGGAAGCTTGTGGATCCTGAGAGTTTTCATGGGAAACTGCAGGGCAGGCTGCCGCACAGCCCCCACTTCTGCTTCCACCCACTCTTGCTAGTTCTCCTTCTCACTGCTATCAGATGGTTACCGTCTCCCGGCAAACCCAACAACGGGGGTGGGGTGGATACTGAGCTCATCTCTACCTCCTTTCTCAAGGCTGGGAGATGCAAGGACCTGGATTGCAGCTCCCAGAAGCAGCCGGGCAAGATCCTCACTCTTCTCCCCACGTTCCCCTGCCTCCATTCATCACCCCGCCAGTCCACACCCTCCCAGGAGCCCTAGGATTTGGTAAAACCCCTTTAAGAAGCAGGACTTGGGAATGGTGACCTCACCCCTTGGAGAACACAGACAGGAGCCTGCCTGCCAGGAGGACAGCCAGGTGCATGATGTAGGCCAACCCAAAAGGTGTGCTAGAGCCACAGGTAACAGCAGCGGAGCTGCAGGGAGCTGCCTGCAAGCCTGGGAGAAGCAGGAGGGAAATGGGGGACCGCGTGGAGGGAGCTGAGACAGCCAGAAGCTCCAGCCAGTACAGGGACAAGTGGTTGCGTTCCCCCTGGGCTCTGGGGGTCGCAGGAGCTTCCCTCTGCTGCCAGGCTCTCTCTCACCCATGCACACACAAACAGGGCTTGACCCTGAGTACGGGAGGGAGAGCTCACTCCCCTCACTGCAACAGCTCCATTCCAGGTATCTCCCAGAACTCTGCTCCCAACCCCGCTCTCCCAGCCCAAAGTCAGACAGGTGGAAGGAGAGGGTTTCTAGTGAAGCTGGGACACCCCCTCAACCCCGGCTCTGAGATCAGTGGGGCAGGGCCAGGGTGAATCAACTCGTCCTTATGTTCCAGTGCCCAGCCTCGTGCTGCACCCACCACAGCTCACGGGGACAGCTCGATCCGTGGCTGTGTGACCTTGGGCAAGTCGCTGGCCCTCTCTGGGCCTCACTCTCTGCACCTGTAACCCTGGTTCCAAGCAGTTCTTTATCCTGACTAGTGCTGCCAGACGTAAGCCTAGTGGCTCCCGGCAGCAGTCTGGGAGGCCTGAGCACCGCAGTTTGGGGAAGGCAGCGGAGGGCAGCTTGGATGGGGGGTGGTTGCTTACCTGACAAGGCGCAGGACGCGGCGAGCAGCAGGCAGAGCAGTGGCCCGAGGCGGCCGGGGGCCGGGCCGGCGGGCTCCATGGGCCGCGGCTGCAGAGCGAGGAAGGAGAGCGGCCGTGAGTGCGCGCTCGGGCGGCGGGCACAGGCTGGAGCAGGGAAATGACTAAGGCTCCCCCCTCCTTCCCCCCCCACCTCCCGCCCGGCCGGGCTTCCCCCCTCCTCCCCGGAACAGCGCCCGGAGTGGCTTAGGAGCCCCGGCGCCGCTGCGATTTTCGGAGGAGCCACCCCTCCGCCCTCCCCAGGAGAGATCGGGAGACGGGGAGGGGGTGCAGCGGGGGTGCAGAGGCAAGAGACCCCAAGAGCGCGAGAAGCGAAGGCAGGACGGCCGGCGAGAGGGGCAGGAGCGAAAAGCAGACCCAAAGGAGCCAGGCAGAGGGCCAGAGACACAGAGAGGCGCGAGAGGGGGAGAAAGAGAGCGAGCGAGCAAACGAGCCAGCGAGGGAGAGAGCGCGGGGCGGCGCAGAGCGAGACAGACAGCGCGGGAGAGGGGACGCGAGGAGCGCAGGGCGCGGGGCAGCGGCCGAACCCGCTGCGCGGGGCCGCCCCCGCCGCGGCCCACCCGCCCCGCCCGGGCTCCTCGAGGCGCCGGCGGCTCGCTCTCTCTCCGGGCCCCGCAGTCCCGGCCGCTACCCCCGCCCTCCCGGCAGCGCGCTTGGTGGGGGGGGGTGCCCCCACCTTCCCTCCCTCTCTCCCTCCCGCGCGCTCCCCGCCCGCCCGCCCGCTCTCCTGCCCGGCACGGTTGCGGGGCTCGGGCCCCGCCGGCACCTTCTCGGTGATCGCCCGCCTGCGCCCCCGCCAGCAGCGCGCCCCGGGGGAGGGAACGAGCGAGGGCTGCGCGCCGCGCGCCCAGCCGGGGAGGGCAGCGGCGGCCCCCGCGCTGCGCCGCGCCTGGGCTCCGGCACCCCCGCGCGGGCTCTGGGCTGCAGCCCCCGGCACAGCCCGCGGGACTCGGGACGGCACAAGCCAACGCGGGCCGCCGATGGGGTGGCGGGGGCAGAGGCCCGCGCTCGCTCATCCCCCGGCCCCCATCCCTCCCATCCCATCCGTACCTCCCACTCCCGCCAGCCCCGGACCTGCACCACCCGCCGGGCTGGAAGGCTGGGGAGGCGCTGCGAGGGGCTGCCCGGAGGCCGGGCCCCTCCACTTTGCGCAAACTTGTTTTTCTAAGGACGGCTCTGCGAGCTGGCTGAGCTGGCTACGCTGGGCTCTTAAGGTAGACTGGGGAAGTTGCGGCCGCCCTCCCCTGCTCCGGACTCTGACCACAGATAGTCCCCGAGAGGCTGCGAGCCGTGTGGTGGCGGAATGGAGCCGTGACGGGGCAGAGGACACGTTCTGCCGTTTGCCACTCCCCAAGAGGCCCTGCCCCTATGGCCCCAAAGCTGAGGGCCCCACGTGAGGCTGGGGATAAGCCAGGGGGACCCGAATCTTTCGGAGCCTGACCGAGGTGGAAGAAAAGCAGGAAGTGAGTGTAGGGGGAAGGGGAAAGAAAGGAGAGATGATGGTACAAAAATAGCGTGTGTGTAGGAAGGACTCGAGTGCCGCCTGGGAGAGCGGCGCAGGAGATGGGGGAGAAGGGGCAGGCAAGAAAAAGGGCCGGTCCAGGCCCTTCCCAAGGAGGTGGGTGCCCTCTGATCAGGTGCCCTGGGTTCTGGATGATGGCAGATTCAGGGTAGGAGGTAGGGGACCTGGAAGCCTGGCTTCCCGAAAAGTCACGCTATTAGGGGCTGGGGCTGGGAGTGTGGAGGATGTGCGGGACGAGGAGAGGTCCTGGAGCCACGAGCCTGTTTTCCGCTAGGATGGAGCATCCCTGGCTGGAGTCTTTTGAGTGGATGGGACACTGAGCCTGGCTGGGTCTGAAGAGGGTCATCTGGCAGACAGGGCAGGGCGTGTGGCATTGTGGGGCAGAAGGAAGTTCATGACCCTTTGCTACTTGGAGGGTCTGTGAACTGGAAAGGAGCCAAGAGATTGCCAGCTGCGGGCTTGGTTTCACAGATGGCAGTAGAGAGGATGCCAGTGAGTGTGGAGGGAGGCCTGTCTCTGTACCCCGAGGGTTAAGGCCCAGAGAGGGGGAACACTTACCTAAGGCCACACAGCAAGATCTGGGGGAGGACCAAGAGTTGAATTTCTGATTCTCTGGCCAGAGACCATTGCACCGAGGCCCATCTTCCATGCTGACCTCCTGGGCCAGTGCTGAGTCTGATCTTGTGATGGGTTCAAGTCCTCTGCCCACTTCTGAGTTCACTCTGCAGCCCTGGGAAACATGCTTCAGCTTCCCCATTTGGAGCAAAACCAATGTGAGTGTGAGCGCACAAAGCTCACGGCGAGGATCAGATGAATGAATACTCTTAGCAACACCTGAAAGAGCTCAGCGCTGAACCAGGTGCCAGGAATGCATCTGATGGAGGCCCAGGCGCTTCACAACTGTTCTGACACTCGCTTCTCTGGGAGTGGCAACCCCCTTTCACTGCCCCTGTCCCCCGGGGACTTACAATCCAGTCGGGAGATGGAGAAACAGGTGTGTAGAAATCATCAATGGACTCCAGAAGATGGAGGTTGGAGAGAAGAGGTGAGCTCATCCTCCTGAGAAACCGTAGCTGAATCGCAACTGCATATTCAAGGAAGACAGATACCACAGATAAAGCCCCTACCACCCACCACTGTGCCCCTCAAGACCAGCTCTGCAGCAGGTGGGGAGTGAAGGATGGTCCTGCTGGGAGTCCCTAAAGGCCCAAATAAAGAGGCTGTGTTTGGATGAAGCCTGCCACTGCTGCTCTGCTTCTGATCCTGCTTCCTGCTCATGCGTCTGGGAAAGCAGCTGAAGGTGGCGCAAATATTTGGACCCCTGCCACCCACATGGGAGACCTTAGTAATGTCCCACACTTCTGGCTTTGGACTGGCCCGCCCGTAGCTGTAGTGGCCATCTGAAGAGCGAACCAGGAGATGGAAGAATTAATGAGATAAATCTTTAAAGAAAGAATCCGAGGTATTGTGTGAGTTGGAAGTGCTGGAGAATGTGGGACAGGGGAGTTTGTGGTCTGGGGGTAGAGGAGTTGTGCTAAAGTGAAGAGGGGCCAGGAGTGAGGGACACACAATCAGGGCACTGGACAGGAGAAAGATGGCTCTAAGGCCCACCCTGCAGCTGAGGGGAGAGGGGCAGGTGAGGACCCTGAAGATGACCAGTGAGGCTCTGGTGGATGCCCCTCCCCATGCTATATCTGGAGTGGGAGATTGGGGCATGGACTGCTCATGAGGTGAAGTCTTCCAGACTTCTGCCCCTGGCTCCCAGGAGGCCCTGCTGCTCCCCATCCACACAGAAATCTGCCCAGGGATTAGGAGCCAGGGGATTAGGACAGATAATAATGGAACCACCTGTTGGTTATAAATAGCAGCTTTGTGTGAAGGCGCTCAGTGGGGCTTCCACCACAGGGGCCCTTCATCCCTGGACCTTGTCCTCTGTCCACATGAAGGTCACCTGTGGCTGACCAAGAGGGCTGAGAGGTCATTAGGGACCAGTGGGCAGCGAGGACATTCTACTTGCCTGAGTTCAAACAGAGATTAGAGTCACACAGGTGCTGGTTTGATTCCTGGCTGCTCCAGCTCCCTGCTTATAGCCTGGGGAATTAGTGGAGGAGGACCTCAAATGCTTGGGCCTCTGCATCAATGTGGAAGAAGCTCCAGGTTCCTGGCTTTGACCTGGTTGATCCCGAGCTATTGCAGCCATTTGGGGAGTGAACCAGCAAGTGGAACACCTCTCTTATGGGTGTTAACTCTACATTTCAAGTCTTTCAAGTCACTAAATAGACGTTACAAGTAAAGAAAATAAATTAGGAAATTAGGTTGTAAGAGGCAGGCTCTATCCCACAGGGGCTCCTTAACTCCTTCAGGACCCCTGTAGGGCAGTCTTTGGGGTTCAGGCCTTTCTGTCATAGGCAGAACCAAACCTTTGGGACTCCCATCTGGCCAGCACCCCCCATGTCCCCAGGGTGCCTTATTGATGCTGTCCCCATGTCCCTGGAAGGGTGGTGGTGCCCTCGAGGGTGCCAGGCCCTTCTGGACACAAGGGTGCTTGCAAAGGTCTGGAGGAAATGGAATGACAAGGTGGGTATATTTTGGTGGGAAAACATTTGGAAACCCACACATAGCTTTAGATGCAGTTTTCCATAAGCTTTTGGCAGACCCCCTCAAATGCACATTTTTCATGGAAAGCAACATCTTTGTCTGTTTTCCTTGAATTTTCTGAAGGACCCCAATACATTGTCTCCCAGAAGCCCCACCAACTCCCCTGGGATCCCAAAGGTAAGAAGACAAACCCAGAGACAGAGTATGTGGTCAGGGCTGTCGCACTGGGGCACGCACAAACCTACAGTGACCCAGCCCTGCCCAGACTGCTCGCTTCTTCCCGTGGCCCTGGGCTGGCGTCAGCAGGCAGGCCCACGGGGCTGCCTTTGTGTGGGGCCTGGCAGGAGGTTGGAGTTGCCAACGACCTATTTTTCTGGGCAAGAGGAGCCATTTGGAGTTAGAGGCCTCAGCTGTGGAGCCAGAATGATCAAAATAAAAACAGCCTGGATTCCCGGGGAAGCCTGGACGAGGGGCCTGAGTGCCTTGGAGGAGCTTGCTGCCGGCAGGGCTGGAAGGAAGGCAGGCTGGGGGCTGAACTGTCCATGGCTGATTTCTGTGGCTCATGACATACGCTGCTCCTTCAGCGTGGTTGCTGGTCCCATTCTGTAGCTATGGACATTGAGGCTCCATGGGGTGATGGACTGAGTTGCCCAGGACATGCTGGCTAGACCAGTTGGGATTTCAACTCACTTTCCCCAAACTCAGCAGCAGTCCCTATTGTTCAGTGTCTGCTGGCTGCCCAAGCTGTTCTTGTGACATATTCAAGGTATACTTCTCAGGGATGTGGAAATCTCCAATTTTACAGATGGGAAAGTGGAGGTTGTTATTCACAGGGAGCATTTCAGGGAGGCCTTGCCTGATTACCCTGTCCCAAGAGCCACCTCCAGCTGTCCTCACTGGGTCCTATTATCTTTCCTAGCCTAGGTCACTTGCTGTGCCTATCACACATCTTCATTGTATTTTCTGTGTCTAGGTCAGTGCAGCCAGGGGCCCAGAGGGCAGCTCTACAAGCAGGTCCTGGGGTTTGTACTCCAATTCTCTTGGCCTAGCTGCCCTCAGGCCAGGTTCTTCCCAACTCTGTCTCACTTATCCAGGCTTGGAGGTGATGGGACCAAGCCTGGGTCATTTCCCAGCTATTTGCTATCCATGGGTGGGAGGATGACAGGGTTTGCCACTGCTCTGTCCTGGAGCTGCAGCCCTAGGACCTGCCGGTCAACAGCAAATCATCAATGAGTGTGTGTGAACTTTGGGAAGTGACCCCTCAGCTCAGTGTGTCCCCACCCTCCACCCCAGCTGACCTGGAATCAGACCTGCAATCCTCCCTTCCCTGAGAACTGGCTAAAATGCCAATTCCAGGGCCCTTAACCCTGGAGTGTCTGGCTCCTGAGAATCTCCATTCCTAAGGCGTTCCCAGGTTGAGGCCCACGCTGCTGCTGGCTTGGTGACTATACAGTGA